TATACAATATAATGAAAAAGAGTATCAGACTGGAAGCTGTCTATTTATGAGGCTATAAGTGAGATATAAAACAATTCCTATTTAGAGATTTGTAACCCTTTGATATTAATTGAAATATAAACAAACACACACTGCAGCCACTCTGGTTGTGTCTCCATCAGTGTCTTTTTTGGAGCAGTCCTGCAATTTTGATGCAAATCCCATAACTGTTGCTTATCATATGCTGATTGATAGGTAGCCTTGGGCTTATCTGGGTGAAACTGAACTGAAAGTTCTATTCCAGAAGTCTACAAAGTTGTCTTTTGGCCAACACTGAGCCATGAGTGTATGTGGTGGATGCATCTGACCCAGGGTCCCCTGCCTAAAATAAAATGCCCTGAATTTCACACAGTGAAGATACGGGGTCTCAGCATCAACTGCTTCGATTTAGTGATCTGACAAATTACTTGATAATATTATTTCATTATTGCTCCATAATACCTCACGATGTTTTACATGCCTTTCATTGCATGTCTCATCATATCTCCTATTCATTCTTCCCATACCATGGCATACAATTCGTGGAGTTGCTGTGTAGGCATAAGACTCACGTTATTTTGACCCAAAGAGAAAGAAACCCCAAGGTGAAGGATCAGCGTGGTGAGCACCTTGTCAAAGAACTCCTTTTCCTTGTTTAAGTGCACGTGTTTTGTGTGCAAGAGTCACAGCAAGAGACATCAGTCCTCAAACAAGATGGTCTCAAGTAGATGAAGTTTTTCAATATTTACAGTCCCCAATTTAGGTTCCACGTGAAAGGCAAAGCAGCAAAATCTGTCTCTTAACGCAGATTTTGTAATATTCAATTACACGAGCTTAGTTGCGGCCATTTTTTTTTAATAGTCTAAACACTGGGTTGTATTACTAATTTCTTTCTTCAAATGGATTTAGATTCCAGTCTTATGAGGATGACATGCTGTCCCTGACCAAGACATGATGAAGGAATTAACCACGGTGACGTTTTCATATTTGAGATTAAAAGAAGCCACACATCTGCCAAATGCGAGCAGAAGGAAAAATCTTGTTACTTTTTCTAAATCCTCTGAAAGCAGCTGGATTTTCAACTTATCCAAATTGTGAAATTTTGTTAAGATTGATGTCCACATCACAGTTTAGAGAAGGGCAGAAAATCTTAAGAATTCAGGATGTGTGCTGGTCTCATAGGAGAAAAGTCAGAAAATAAAGCGAGAGTGCATTTTCTCTGTAGTGGAATAAGCCAATTACTTCCCTTTAACTTCACCCTTATGCAGGCGCTTGTTTAAAGGCTGCAGATGTTTACAGTTACTGACTATGATTTGTTTTGCTCATTTATTCTGGATACATTTCTTATCTTACTGGGTTTTTCCTCCACAAGATCTAAGCAAAATTTAAAGGCTCCACAGTGTCATCTGATTACATTCTTCCTGCTGTCTCCACTAGCTCTTTAACTGCCCCAGCCCAGCATGAGAATCAAGACCTGGAATGATGTGCCTGGACCTGGAAGATGTGGAGGGAGATTTGCACCCTTCTGCCATAGCAGCCATGATAGTCCTGGCTGGCTTAGCATGAAAGCCTTGTGCGTTTGGGATCATTTTGGAGTCCAGGCACAGTAACAGGGCGAGTGAGATGAACCTATTTACTGGCTTCTGAAGCACTAAAAAAAATAATATTGTTTGCTTTGGTGCATAGTTCTTGACCCATGTGCTGTAAGCAGCATAAGAACAAGAATCAAATACAAGCTCTTCTGAGGCCTGTGCACCATGGCAGGTGCCCTTTGCAGGATGTGCTTTCAGTTACTCTTCATCTCCCTTTTGGGGAATAAGGAACATCATCAAAGAGGCAGCAATAGATGTGGCAGAGGAGTAGGTACATCATCATCAAATGCAGAGGTGATGCTTATTTGTAGACTCAGTTCTGTACACTTCTTTTATTTCAGGAACAAGTACCTACTAACACAGTGTGATTTTACAAAGTTGGATTTGTTTGAAAGATGTGCAGTTCTCTGTGGGATGCTTCATGCAGGATGTTTTGCATCCTCATTTATGGAAGACTGAACTCTGCAAGATCTGTGAATCTTGCAGAAAAAATACCCACAAAGCAAATGTGTGTATCTAAAATGATGTTAGCTTGGATAGCTTCACGTGGCAGCAGAATGGTAAACAGCAAAGCTGTACCCAGCCTTACTCTAAATTTGCTCTGAGCTACACTTAATAGGGATTTAGCATTATGATCACACTGGCAATGACAGTGTGCAGTGTCTAATTCAGAGAAATTGAACAAATAGAGTGTGTCCCCAGGTGGATTTAAAATGCAGAGTGCCCCTTTCTGGTTTTCTGTAGCCTGCTGAATCAAAATGCAGCTACAGGAAAGGAGATGAGCAAACATTGAGTGATAAGAGGCGGCAGCTCCAGTTGGCTTAGAGAACTGTTCTGCCTCTGGCACTTTGGATCATGAACTTCCTCACATCCAAGAAATGTTAACAGCTCGGCCCTGGGGCTTTAGCAGCTCTGAGTGTCTCTGTGGGGTTTGCACTGACAGCTCCCCCATCAGTATGCGATTGGTTGGCATTCCGGGCGCCTCACGTGCACGAGGGTTCCAGCCTGCCATTCCTTTGCAGAAACACCACCATGGGCATCTGAGTGACATTTTAATTTGATAATGAAAGCGCCATTAAATCAGAAAGGAGGAGAAATGCCTGTGTTTGTGGCACAAGATATTTTGTGTGACCACTGAGGTCATTTGAGACAGGCCTGCTGTTGAAATAGTTACACAAGTTTGCCAGCAATGACTCACTACCGTGGTGGCCACAGATAAATCCCAGTTGCTTTCTACTTGTTTTTGGAGGTTTTGGTGTTAGGCGTTTCTGTATGTTGCCTAAACAATAAAATTCCAGCAACACTTAGGTTGCTCGATAAAGATTTCCCACATTTGTTCATATCTGAAGTGCTGCAACAAGCTGTGATCCATCCTGCTGTCCCTTTTGACTGTGTCAGAAGGGGATATATTTTATCACCACTAACCCCCTCGGTTTTGTCAGCAACAGGCCTTTCCTTGATGTGCCTTTTCCTGAAGAAATCCTGACTGGAGTCAGAACACGAATCATTCAAGTGCAAGTCTTCGGGATTCAGAGTTCTAGATGCTCACATCTCAGATGCTTTCTCATCTCTCATTTAGAGAAATGTACTATAATATTACCTAAATGTAATATAATATCACCTATGAAACACAGACTCACGAATTTGGGTTGTGCTAGATAATGTTACACCTGTATCTCTCTCTCTCCATGTCTATATAATATATTTAGAGATATCTAAACTTTGTTGTAAATAATTGAGAGTATAAATGGCCAAATGTATTGTTCTGTCATCCTACAGATGAGGAATTTTGATAGTAATATATTACATGTTTGGATTGTAACTATGCAGCATATCTGTGGCAGAATTAGAATTGGATCCGTGTTCTTGAGCTTTTTCTGGTGCTTTTTGTCAGAAAAATCTTAAGAAATGAAATACTTACAGTGACTTTATTTTCTCTAGTTTATTTTCCTTCCAGATGTTAAAGGTTTGGATTTTTATTCAGCTGAAATAGATCCTGTTCTTTAAGAACTATAGAGGTTCTGTATATATGTATATATAAAGTAGTGAAGGGGTTCTGTGTATATATAGAGAATTCTCCTCTAGTTTAATAACTGTAGGAGATTTTTTACTGTATGCAGCTAGTTGTAAAATTAACTGTACATCTGTTGTTCATCCAGTTGGAACTGGCTACTGACCTCCTGGGAGGTGATGCAGGACCAGTACAAGAAAAAGAGTTGCTACCAGTTCAGCGTGGAGTTACTGTCATTCCAGTGTGGAACTTTGAAACTCTCTGAATCCATGCTCAATAAATGATATTGATGATGCCTGGAAAAGAACAGGGTTGTGGTAACAGTGGGCTCTTCAGAATTTATTTTTGTGTATCTGCTCTGCACATCTGTACTGTCATCTTCATTTGACTCCTACTGTTGACCTGTAGGAAAAAAACCTTTCATTACTTGCCTACTGCTGACAGAATGGGGTAGCAAATACAGTACTATTGATCAAGTCTTTGCAGTAGTTAACACTTGCAGCTTCCACTGAATGTCAAGCATGGAATTGTAGATGCTATTTTTCTGTCTTTGAAGGAATATTAACAGTTCTCATATTGTGGCTGACATTAAGGCCTCTGATGTTACTTGGGAAACACAAGTGAATTAACCCTTGTAATGTTTTCACGGAAGGGATGAATGTAAAAATGTTGCAGGTGGTGAATAGGGACACAAATAAAATTAAATGTTTTTTTCCAGATCACTCAGTAGTTCTATGGTAAAAGTATGTGCTGGACTGAAATACCTATTATTGAGTTGCTAATCTTGTTTCTGTACAAAAACTGAATGAAAAAGCCCCACAGGATTCTAAATTTGGCCCAAAAATCACTAGCCAAGCTGAATTAAGACACAACAAAGCAGCAGCAATGTCATCTCTTCCAAATACTGAAAGCACTCATCCCTTGATGATAGCCTGTCAGTACTGTTTGGAGTTTTGTTTCAAATGCTTGAAAGGTATCCTCTAAGTAGTTTTCTAAATAATACTTTTCTATAATTTTAACTTTGATCATAACTTAGAAAAGTAGCTAAGGCAAAGTGCCATTTATGTTATTTTTTCCTTTTTAAAGGTTGAAGTCTAGAATGATATATCGATATTTTTCTTCCATTAACTTTACCTTGCTAGGTGTAAAAATCTTTCAGCAAAACCGGTGATTTAGTGGTATTTCAGATATCTTTACCCCTCTCCTTTGTTTGTTGTTCTCCTGTGATGCTGCAGCGCAACAAATAAATATTGGCTGTGTTTGCTATTACTCCCTGCAGCTGTTTTTCAGCAAAGCTATAAGGAGAAAAATAACTTGGATGATTGCAAAAGCCAGTTCGTAGCCAGGAGAGTCCTAATTCCCTACTTGTTTTTCCACAGGCCTCCAGAATTGGCATCGAAGTATGCAAATTTCTCTGAGGGAGTGTGCAAGCCAGGCTATGCATCAGCGCTCATGACTGTCATCTTCCCAAAGTGAGTAAATACTGTGGGGTTTTTTTCCCTCCTCTTCCCCTGATGACTTCTCATCCTTCAAGGTGGGTCATCTGCAGAGTTTGTCTTCAAAACTGTCATTATTCAGTCGCTGGATTGGTGCAAGGGGAGACCTGTGTTGAAATTCTGGGCAGTTTGAGTGGTAAAGGTTTAATTGACTTCAGTCTGACTGGGAGTTTGCTCAAAGAGTGGAGCTCTGGGTGATGAGTAACAGAACAAATTATGTTGTCAGTGTGTGATGCAGATGTGTGGTCAAGCTCACTGCTACTACCTGATGATGCAACAGTGAGGAAGCTTTGGTCATGAAGTGAGAGATTAAATTGTCTGGAGTAGTGAAGTGTGGTGTGCTGTTGTTGTTTTGTTTTTAATTCTTGGGAGAACAGGGTAAGGCATCCCTCGGGTGCCTGGAGTTTGCAGAATTGCTGGAAGACAGTTCAGAAGATAGACTGGCAGGAACATTATTCTTTTAAGGCTCAAGGATTTCAGTTTGGTGCATCAAATGGAAAATTTGATCAAATGGTTATTTGGCCTTTGCACGAGCCTCTAATACATGTGAAAAAGATTCTCTGGTGCAATGATCTCTTTGGCAAAAGAGGTTGTGGACTTTTTAACATAACTGGCATTTTTCCAAAAGACGTGTTTTATATCTTTAGAGTAGGGAATTTCCATGACTTGCACATATGGAAGCGGCCTTCAAGCCAAGCCTGAAACTGGTGGTATCTTCTGTCTTTGTTTTTGTTGGCAAACATGGTATCAGGGAGCTCTTTAAAGTAATAAAATAAAACTGACGTTGCCTTGTAACCAGCAGATACTGCAATCAGGTCTTAAAAACAAAACAAAATGCTAAGGTTCTCCATCAACAATTATCAGGAAAACAAAAAATTGTCAGTATTATCTTCTGCGTGAATTTTGGAACTCTGGTTAGAATATAAATAAATACTAGAGCTGAAGGTAAGTACTTTTAAATCTGTGTTTGTGTACATATTAAATGTAAATAGTATAGAAGGGGATAAACTTATTATTATAAAAATATTAATCTTATTTTAATTTTGAAAAGACTTTGGCTTTAAGAGGGTTTTTTGCCTCCTAGAATCTGAAGTGTTATTTATTCTCTCCCTCAGCAACTACTTACAGATTTCTGTTTAATGCTCTTCTTCCACTCTCTGACTGCACTGAACTAATACCATGCCAAGAGGTAGTAACTTGTCTCTAGTAGAAGCAAGTGGTTGTTTCCTTGTTCACACATTGAAAAATCACATTCATAGTCCTAAAGACAGCATCTCACTGGGTATTTATGTTCGGTTGCTTATCTAACCTGGACCCTAAAACTTGCTAATGTTGACATTTTCCCTGTGACATCTTTGAATTTTCCGTGAATTGAATTCAGTGTTGGACATTTCATTATTTTACCTGGTACTGGTGTAAAGATGGCTGACCAGTAGTTCTGCAAAAAATTCCTGCTACACTTAACAATTCTTTCTCTTTTGCAACTTCTTCTGTACTCAAGGAACGATGCAATGTTAATATTACCAAGCTAGGTATCATAATTTGACATATTAGAGACTCTTAAAGCCAGATTAGCTTGCCAGTTCATTTAAAAATTTGAGCTGCATTATTTGGTTTATTCTGGCTTTTGTTTTCGGTTGCTTGTATCATTAGGAAGCCATCATCTCTGCAGCTGACATTTTTTAGGCTTGGCCTTTGCTGTAAAATGTGTGTTTTTGTTGGGTGTTTTTATTATTTGGATAAAGTTGGTTTGACCGATTTCAAGCATAAATAAAATGAATAAATGTTTTCCCATTTTAAGGTTCCTGACTTTTTAGTGCAATTTTAAATATAAATAGGGAAAATAGGATGGAAATAGTTGAAATAGAGTGAATGTTTTTCAGAGGATGTAACTTCTTGGTAAGTGCTTCTTACTGTAAAAAATGTGAGGTCAAACTTCACCAAGCATAAGCAAGTGCTAGAAGAATTAAGGAGCAATGCCCTGAGAAATCTCAAAATGTGGCTGATGGTAAGGAAAGACTAAATGTTTGTTTGTTTGTTTGATGAGGTCCTCAGTCAATGAATTCTCATTCTAGCAATGCTTGATGCCTTCATAAATAACCCTACCTGGAAAAAATCCTGGGTTGGAGAGCCTGATTTAAATGGCCACAATCCAACAAAATATATGTTAATATATCCAATATGAAATAAGACATCTGTGAGGAACAAATGCAGATTGTACCTTCAGGATAGAAAAAACTCTGTCTTGGAAACAGACACAGAGAAATTTTCATGTGACCTCCACAAAATATCGTAGCTTAAATGCTATTTCAGATTCATGTGAACACAAATAACTTGAGAAATTTTGTGTGAAGCACTGACTTAAAATTAAAATACAGAACTCTGCAATCCAAGACTTCTAGAATGCTGTGTCCAGTTTTGATGGTTAAGTGTGAGAAGGGAGGGGAAATAAGAGATGGAAGGAAAGCCACAAAAATGAACAAGGACTTGCTTAAACAGTAAAGTAAACAAGACTCTTAGAAATAAGTCATCTTTCTGAAGCAGGAGCTGTATCCAAATGAGGAGAATAGGAAAGAGCATTAACTTTGGCAAGTTAAATATAAACCATAATGAGGTAGGCCAAAAAAAATGTTGAGGAACAACTTTATAAAGGCATTAAAAAAAAATAATAAAGCTTTTTGTCTGACTGTCAAAAGCAGAAAGCCTATCAGAGACCCCAATGAGCTGATAGATATTCATAATATTACATGTGAGCTAAGGGAAGGTAAGGCTGTAGCAGAGAAGTTATTTGCATTGCTATTCACTGCAGAGCAGTTCCCATGAGGAGCCTTCATTTCCAGGGGACAGGCTGGGGAAAACTGACAGAAGGTTGACGTTTTGGAGCGAATCAGCACAAAGAACTGCTAGGAAAAGTTCTCGCTTTGTGAGGGACTCGGTGTTGAAGTTGCCGAGTTACACACGGTTGTGTATAATCATTGCTTAAATTGGCCTTAGAATGCAAGAATGAAAGGCAGTTGAACGTGCTGGGCTTTTCAAGAAGGGCCTGTGGAGCATTTGGGAAACTGGGAACTACTAGGGAGCCTGGTTTGTGTATCAGGCTCCTCTTAGAACCTATAAAGAAAGAACAGAATTAGTGTTCATTCACAGGAATAAAGGTGATGACAGAGAGGAGACAAGTTGTCTTCTGCAGCAGGAATTCCTGCCCTGTAAATCTGCTTGTGTTGTTGGAATGACTGGATAAACATTTGATAAAGGTGATTTAACTAATGCAGTATGTCTGGATTTCTTCTTCTCGACAAAAAACCCCACATAAAAAACCCAGAGCAAACACTCCCCCCCCAAAAAAAAAAAAAAAAAAAAGCCACCAAAAAACAACCAAACACTTGGTGTTTCAAAGACTTTTGAAAAATTAAGTTGGTGTAGTCCTGCAGTGATTAGGTAGTGACTATGTAAAGATTAGAAACTATATGGGAAATATATATATATAGTATATGGGAAAAAAATTGTACAGTACAGGGATGTTACCCCTGGAGCCTTCTGGAGAAAGTGAGCTGGGATCTCTGCTGTTCCAAGTGCTCATAAACTGTCTGGAGAGGAGGATGAGTAATAAAGCACTGACACATTTTTCCAGGTGGTAAGATCAAAAGCTGACTGTGAGGAATGTCAGAGGGATCTCGCAGCAGTAACTGATGGGGCAAGAAAATAGCAGGCCATATTAAGATCTGGTAGATATAAGGTAGGGTTTGTAGAGAAGATTGATCTGACAGTGTATACCTGATGATGGACTTAATTATGCCTTGCAAATTGGGCAAGAGATCTTGGAATTACTTTGTTCTGGGACTTACCAACCAGCAGCTGTTAAAAGACTGTGGACATATTAGGAGATAAATGCAGAAAGCCCAAGAATATGTTGTGACACTGTGTGAACACCTCCATCTTCAATAACCCATCCAATTCTCTTCAACTGACTTTGAAACAGATTTAGAGGAATTAGGAATGCATGGTGGTAATAAAGATGAAACAAAAACATGGATCTTATTTCCAAACTCAGAAAGACTGAATTGACATACTTTCCAGTTTGAGGTAGAGCAAGCAGAAGATATTCACAGGTCTGTGTAACATAGTGAGTGACATGGTCTGGTGAGATTTGAAGGTATTAAATGCAAATATGGTGCACCAGGTTTAAAATAAAGAAAGGTAAGTGCTATGTCATGCTATTTCTGGTTGCATTTTTTTGAAAATGTGTTCCATAGTGGCGGGGGAGGGAAAGAGATTGACTTGTTCTATAGACTGTAAGTATTCAGCAACAGGCATGGAACTGTCCTAAGGTACTGGAGGCTGGAACCTAAATGGATGTTGAGGGCAACGTGTAGCTTTATATATTCCCTGTTTCTTGGGCTTTTTACTGAAATATTGGCCAATGGGCACAGACATGGAGTACTGGGCATGTCTGGTCTAACCTGTTGTTCCCTGTGTTGTGTGTTTTCTGTGTTTTTTAATAATTATGCCATAAGAGCAGAGTGACATATCTTCAGAAAAACCATGATGTGATCTGAGTCACGACAGTGGCTGCCCACGACGAGAAATGGATGCGTGATCTCAGTCCTGCATCTCGCTGTGGGGCTGGCCAGCTGGGCTGCCTCTGCTGCTCACTGGAAATGGAGGAGTTATCTCATTTTTCACTCTCCAGGACAATGGGATTCTACCCCTCTTGCCAATCTCCCCAAGAGCAGATAATGACTCAAAAGTGCCTGAAGGAAGGTTTCTGGGTTTGGAATGGTGCAAAGAAAATGACAAGCGTCTTTGGTAAAATGGCATCAGTAGGTCAGTGAATTAGACTACTATGTTCAGTGAATTAAACTATTTTAGTAGTTCTGAGGTCACCTACAAGTCTGGAGCTCGTGCTCTGACCTTTTTGTAGAAGGCAGTAACTTGTGTTTGCAGTGGTAACACTGCAGTCTCCTGCATGTCTGGCC